TGCTGCAGGATGGATCAGGGACAGGGGCTTTGCCAGCCACCCTGTGCTTACTGAGCCTTTGATATCTGGCTCTGAGGGGACCCCACAGGCCAGGGGCAGTGCACAGCTGCACAGCTTCCTGCCAGCACCAAGAGAAACCAGAGGGTAAAAATGTGCTGAATACATGGAAACAGGCTGAGCATCCTCTGCAGGGCTGGGCCTTCTCGCTGCGCCCCTCAATGTCCCTTCTGCTCCCCTGCAGCCCCAAGCCCTGGGGCCACCCCAGCTTTAGCAGCTGCTGGGGACATTTCCTTGTCACATGGTGCTGGGCAGCCCCCACAATATCCCCACTATCTGAGTTTCTGTGCAGCGATCAAGGCCACCATCAGTCCCACACATCCTTGGAGACCAGCAAACACAGCTGGGTTTCCAGGGTAACTCACAGGTTGTTTTCGAACATCAGCACCATTTATAACTGCAACCCACTGCGGTATGGGCTCTCAAAAAAAGTCCCCCAACAGCGCCATTTGCTCCGAGGAAGCTGGTAGAGGGAGAAAAACAGCTGGAAAATGGAGCCCAGCCATGAATGAACCGCTGAGCGTCAGCTGAGGCCAGCCATGAGGCACAGCCCCGCCTGGCTCCTTCACCCTCCCTCTGAGACACGTTGCAGAAAAATTCAAAGCAAACCAGGGCCACCCTGGGGGATTTTTGACCCCAAACGAGTTCGGTTTCATGCCATGGAGCAAGCAAGAGAAATCACATGAACTCCCCTGGCTTGGCTGCACATCCCTGCAGGAACACCCATGCAAGGGGAAACCCTACCCTGGAGCCATCAGTGCAGCTGGGTCCCCCTGCTTGGGTACAGGAAGCTTTTAGCACCCACAGGCACCCTGGTTGAGGGGAGAAAGCTCTGCAAAAACCCAGAGCTGCTTTCCCCTCCCTTTCCCTCTCGAGCTGGGGAGGCTGTGAGCCTCACCCCCTTCACGTGGCTCCTGGCTGCGGGACGGTCCCCACATGCAGTGGGGCTGCACTGCGGCCGGATGCTGGATGGGTGCCAGGGATCCCACCCCAGGCACACGCAGCCTGTTAACGCCACTTCGGAGCCTGCACATGAAGCCGTGTACCCTCCTGGCAGAGGGGAAATTCGAGCATGGCACAGTCGTTCTCCCTCACTCCATGCATGTGCCATCGGGGCTGAGACCACCCAGCTCATCTCGGTGGTGGTGGAGAATCGCCGAGCACACCCAGTCCCTGACCTGTCCTTGTAGTGCCCCATCCCTGTGCCCCATCCCTGTGCCCCACTGCTGCTGACACCTCCGCAGGGGCCGGGAGAGCAGCCCCGGGAAAAGCCCCGGACAAACACCCCCCATCCTTTGGGCAGCAGTGGCCCAGCATGGGGGTACACCTGCCCCCCACCCAACAGCGGAGAAACGTGGGTTATGGGGATCCCGTGAGAAATCCTCAGTGATGTGCACAGCCTTTGTGGAAGCCTCTGTTCCGCCAGCAATGCACCTCCAGCCTCTCCAAAGGTCTGAGCTCAGGGGCTGCACCCCAGGAGCCCGACTGCCTTGCGGGGCTCCCCGGCACAGAGGCCACAACACCCGCTGTCCTGAAGCAAAGCAACTTCCCCGGGTTAAGAAAAATACCGGCATCCATCCTCTCGGTGGGGCTGCGGACATCCCCAAAATTCCCTGCCCCACCCTACTGCCAAAAGGCCTCCCGGGCCTTCAGGAGCTCCGAGCCCCTGGACAGCTGCGGGGTGAGTTTACCTGCGCAAAACCTGGTGGGTACCAAACCAGGGGGGTCCGCAGCTTGGATCCCAGCTGGAAGGAAGGAGGGATGGGTGTTTCCGCAGCCGCTGCAGCACCAAAGCATGGACTAAAGCGCATCCCGGCCGGGACACACCCAGCGGGGCCCGCAGCCCCACCTCAAAAAGCACCCACCGGCAGCGCAGCCCCCCGGGGCTTGCCAAGAAGCAAAGATTTTTCATTAAAAAAAAACAACCCAGAACCCCAGGGATTCCCCCTGCAGCCACCCCTTGGAGGGAGCCTCCGCTTGCACAGCTCACCGCCCAGCCCGGCCAGGGCTTTGCACGACTTTCCTCCCCCCGGGCCGCTGCGGAAGAAAGCGGCCGGCGCCGCCCGGCCCCGTCCCGCAGCGGGCACTGACCGCAGCGCGGAGCCTCCGCTCGCAGGAGCCGCCGCCGCGCCCGGGCTGTTCCTGTGGCCGAGCGCTCGTCCTTGGCCAGCAGCTGTTTCCTCACGGCGAGACGTCACCGCCCCCGAGTCCCCGCCTGCCGTGGCCAGGGCCACATCCCACCCCCGGTGCCACGCCAGGCCTCGGGGTGCCCGCGGTGCGGCGGCGCTCAATGTCACCCGCAAAATCAGCCGAGCCTGCCCGCTGTGCGGAACCCCCGGCACAAGAGCCCCGCTGGGGTGTGCAGGGGCGCTGTGCCAGCAGCGGTGACACGCACACTGCCAGGCAATACCGGCGATTGCATTTCAGCCACGGAAATGTCGCCCCTTCTGTCCCCACAGCTGCGGTTTCCTGGTGAGCGCCGGGCGCAGGGCACCCCGCTGCCTCCCGGTCCTGCCGCCAGCCACCTCCTCCTGCACCAAATCACACCCTTCCCTGCTCATGGCTGGGAAATGTCCATCCCTGACTCTCTGCAGGAGTCTGAGGGAAGAATGGCCCGACCTTGGTCCTCCAGGGCCCACTTAAGGAGGGAGGTGCTGACCAAGGCTCTGCAGTGAGCACCCACGGGGCAGGACCCGAACTGGCACGATGGTTTTCCACCCAATCTTTTCTTCCCGTGCTGCAGACACGGATGGCATGCAGGATGAGTCTCTCCAGGATGCTCCTGGCAGGCTGTACCGTTGCTCGCAGTGCCCCGAGGCCGTTTCCTTCTGTGCCTCACCCACGTTTAACCCGGCTCCTTTGCCACCACCCTTTGCCCAGCCTGCACAGAGACCTCAGCAGGGCTGGAGGAGCTGGTGGGGCTTCCCAGGAGCCACGGGCGGTGGTGTCTGACACCAGCCAGAGCAGATAAACCCACGGAGCCCTGGAGATGCTGAAGGCTGCTGGTGTGTAACCTTTCAGGCATCCCAGCCCTGATGGTACCCAGTGGTTTGAGCATCTCTCTGAGGCTGCAGGGCAGCTGAGCTGCTCAGCCCTGCCTGAGCTGGGCAGTGTGGGCCCAGGCTGGGTGTGACATGCTGGACGGCTGGCATGCAGACATAGGGCTGTGCTCCCCTGGAGGAGCCTGGCAGGGGGAGACCCTCACGGCCTCCTAGCACTGGCTGCTCCTTCCTGCCCTGTTTTTCCCTCAGCAATGTTCCCTTGGGCTGGCATTGGTATCTGGAGACCTCCCTCGTGTGGGAGATGGCGTGGGTGACAAGCATGGCTTTGTTCACCCTGTGCTGCAGCGTGGGACAACAGCCCTGCTCTCCCCAGCTGGGCCATGGTGTGCTGAGCCCCCCTGCCCCAGAGGTGCTCCCAGTCCAGCAGCTCACAGGGTCTCTAGGTATGGGGCTGCCCCATAGAGCCAGGACATGAGAGCCTTGTGGTTAGTGTACATCTGTGCTTTAGATGCTCTGGATCCTTCCTTGCTTTGCTCCTGCATGGCTCCTGCTCCCTTCCTCTGCTCCTTGCCAGCTGAAAACCAGAGGATGGGCTGAGCCACAGCCTGAGAGTTTTTTGTCTCAAAATACTGTAAGCAGACTCAGCCTGAGCACTGTCTACAATAAAATCAAAGCTAGGTCTTCATCCCAGGCATGTCTACCAAAACACCTCTCTCAGCCTCCCCTCAGAGCCCAGACCTGGTCCTCTTCTCCCAGGATGCTGATGACCAACCAGGTCACCCCATCACTTTCTCCATGACCTCTCCTTGCCAGGAGCAGCCGTGCAGAACAGCCATGCTGGTGCCCAAGGACACTCATGTGCCTTACTGTCCCCAAGGAGTCTTACCTGGGACCCCCATTCACACAGCCCTGTGCCCTCATTTAAGCCCAACTCTGGACTTACCCCTGCCCCTGCTTGAACTCTGCTGCTCAGCCCCTGTGAGCTACACCCCAGAAATGCCCAAATACCAGGGAAGTGCAAGCAGCCTCAGGATTTTGCTTCGGGGAGTTACAGCTGGACATGCTGCTGCAAGCATCCCATGGAGCTGGGTCTGTGCTCCTCTGCCTTGGTGCTGCAGTCCATTCAGGGACCTGTTCACCTCCCTCTGTGTTCCTCATGGGGAGCTGGGGTCAGTCATAGATTTAGGTGCACACACCCCTAAACCCCATTCCAGCCTTGTTACTGCTCCTCTCTGCCTGAATTTCCTCCAAAACCAGCTCCACAGACTGAGATGTGGTTCTTGGTGTGAGGGACAGAGCTCCCTTCCACCTGCCCAGGGGGCTTGGAAAATTAAATTCCCTCAATAATGCCTCTGAGCCATTAGCATTGTAGGCTGTGTGTATGATTTGGAAGGCGTTGTGGGAAAAATATTTCTGCATAGATTGTGCATTGTGCAGCCCGGAGCAGTGGTCAGAGCGGGGAGGGCCAGGGTGCTCCCACAAGGGATTTAAGGGGAGAGCGTTAGGGGGGCATGCCTGGTGCTCGTTGTCCCCACCAGCTTGCCGCTGGAGCAAAGGATGGCTGGGGTGAGTGATTTGCTTGCAGGAGAAGGGAAAATCCCCGGGGCGAGGTGCCCTGGGCGGGACTGGGGCTGTGCAGAGGGTAGGCGCTGCTGGGGGGGCGGGAGGGCAGCGGCTCCTCACCCCCCAGGCACAGCATTTATCCTGGAGATTCCACCAGGAACACCTCATCCTGCGGGTCTGGGTGCCATGCAGGGTTGTCCCTGTCCCCCTCCAGTTCCACGCCACATCAGGGATGACGTGTCCCCTGTGCCACAGGGATGTGCCACTGGACAGGGTTTCCAGCCAGCTCCTGTACGTGTAAATAGCAGATTATGGCATTTGGAGTGTGTGGCACGGCTTTTGCTTTGCTGTGGGGTAACCTGGAGGTCTGACAACACCATGGGATGTGAAGGTAGGTTCTGCAGTCCTGGAGCTCCTGGGAAAGGATGTGCAGGCTGGGGGAAAACACAAACCCCAGGCATGTCATACCAAGCACACCTTCCCCCAAGCACAGATGTCACACAATTTGGGGTTTCTGCCAGGCTGACATCCCCACTGGTGTTCCCAGCAAGCCAAAGCATTACTGCACAGGGTGATGGGCCAGGGGATCCAGCCTCCACCTGAGCTGTGCCATTGACCCACAGTTACAGGTGCTGTGCGAGCATCTCCAGCTGAGCAGGTGAGTCCTTCAAGTGCACTTCAAGGCAATTTCCAGAAGCAGAGCATCTCCCATCCTTCCTTCTCTGGCATGGGTTCTGCATTTCAAATCATTTCAGTGTCAAAGGTGGGATAATCCTGGCTGTGTGTTGCTGCTGGCGAGGCTGCTGGAGCAACAGGACTTTCTGAGCTGGCAGGGGGACAAACACATGTCCTTGTCCCCTCTCACAAATTGGACAGAACCAAACAAACCCCAGTCATGCACAGCTCCACTTGTCACTGGGGATGAGAGAGCAGCACAGCTTCTTGAGCCCCATCTTGCTCCAAAATGGGCTGGTTTTGTGGCAGAGACAGAAAACAGGCAGCACCCAGCAAGTCCATGAGCGCTGTGTGAATGGTGGGAGCTGCAAGCAAACCACTGAGGCTGGGTTTGTGTCACATCCCCAGGGTGGTCAGTGCCTGTGGGGCAGCAGTGTCCTCATGCCTGCTGCTCTCCTCTCCTGCAGATGCCGTGCTGGGGCCGCCTACGCTCCGTCCTGAAGCTGCTTTCCCGCAGGAAACAAGTCCCGGCCAGCTCAGAGGGCTCCAGCCTCCGCCGCTGCCTCTCCACCGTGGATCTGGTTGCCTTGGGAGTGGGCAGCACGCTGGGGGCCGGTGTCTACATCCTGGCAGGGGAGGTGGCCAAGACCAGCTCTGGCCCGAGCATCGTCCTTTCTTTCCTGATTGCAGCTGTGGTGTCTGCCCTGGCAGGGCTGTGCTACGCCGAGTTTGGGGCCCGTGTGCCCCTGGCCGGCTCTGCCTACCTCTACAGCTACGTGACAGTGGGCGAGCTCTGGGCCTTCCTCGCTGGGTGGAACCTGCTGCTGTCCTACGTCATCGGTACAAGGCCCTCGTGATCCCTCCCACCACTGTGTTGGTGGCTCTGCTGGGTGTCCTTTGAGACCTCCCAGGACCACCAGAACACCAGAACACAGCCATCACCTCTCCCCAGGTACAGCCAGCGTTGCCCGGGCCTGGAGCGCTACCTTTGACCAGCTCCTTGGCGAGAAGATGGGGAGGTTTTTGGGTGCTCACGCAGCCATGAGCTCTGTGGGGCTGGCAGAGCACCCAGATGCCTTTGCTGCAGGCCTGGTGGTCCTGCTGGCAGGTAGGATGCCTCCCCCTGTGCCACTCTCCATCAGGGTGATGATGAGCTCCTCACCCCACCATGGGCTCTTCAGAATGCGGCCGATCCCTCTGAGGCTTTGCCACTTCCCTGAGCAAAGAATAGGGAATTGGGGAAATCTGCAAGTTGTGCTGAATTTACCACTGCCCCCCTTTTCCACCCTCCCTGGTAATGTCTACCCTAGTGTCATCTAGGGGGCTCATCCAGTTTTGATTTTTTATTCTCCAGGGCTTCTTTCCTTTGGAGTGAAGGAGTCCACCATGGTCAACAAAGCCTTCACAGCTCTCAATGTGCTCGTCCTGCTCTTTGTCACAGTGAGTGGCTTCATCAAAGGTGACATGAGCAACTGGAGGCTCAGGGAGGACGACCTGCCACAGGCAGCTGCCCACGAGGCTGGGTATGAGGGGCTTCACTCTCCCCGTGCTGCCTTCAGAGTTGGGTGGGTGTCAACACCCCAATGCTTTATGCCAGGAGATACCACTTTCTCCGTTTCTGAATATTGGAAATGTGTCAAAGAGACAAAGTCCTGCTGGGTTGAGTGGGTTGGATAGACTGTTCAACTTGACCCCATCCTGGAGTCCCATTGCACTGACCCCCATGCACTGCCTGACTCTTCTTCCTCCTCCCAGGAACCAGTCCATGGTGGACAACATGACCAGTGCCTTTGGGGTGGGAGGCTTCATGCCCTATGGTTTCACTGGGACCTTGGCTGCAGCCTCTACCTGTTTCTATGCCTTTGTTGGATTTGACTGCATTGCTACCACAGGTAAATGAGGTGGAGGTGCTGCTGCTGGGACCCTCTGTGCAGGCTGGGGGGCTGTGGCAGTGAGTGGCCCAACAGCTCTGGGAACTGGTGTAAGGCTGGGAAATGGGCACATTCCCAGCTCTGTGCTGCAGCCACCCCCTCCTGCCTTTTCTAAGTGTCCATGTGGAATGTCTGGGCTAATCCTGAAGCAGAGACATTCTCTATCCCAATATCCCTGGGATAGATGTTCACTAGATGTTCACTAGAACATCTAGTGGTCATTGCCAGAAGGTCTGTGTCCTCTCTTGGGGGGATATAGGATCTGCTCTCCAGCCTGAGCTGGGCTCTTAGCATGCCATGCACATTAAAGGAGCATCTGTTCCTACAGCTGAGCTTGTCCTCCCCAGGGGAAGAAGTGAGGGACCCACAGAGATCCATCCCCATGGGCATCATTCTGTCCCTCCTCATCTGCTTCCTGGCCTACTTTGGGGTGTCTGCTGCCCTCACCCTGATGATGCCCTACTACCTCCTGGACACCATGAGCCCACTGCCAGTGGCTTTTGAGCACATTGGCTGGAGCGCTGCAAAGTACGCCGTGGCTGTGGGGTCACTGTGTGCCCTGACCACCAGGTGAGGAGAGTCCTCTGATGGTGGTTCTGTGGTTCAGAGCAAGGTACTGGAGCTGTAACACATCCAAGGAGATATCCCTATCCCCTTCCTCCCGAATTCCTCCTTGCCTTTCCTGCTTGGCCAAAACCCCTTCCACACAAACCCTGGTGTTCCCACCCTGGCTCTTCCTGATTGAGAGCAGCCAAACCTGTTGGCATGCCACTGGAGGAAGTGGTCAGGTGGCACCATGTCCACAAGAGTGGGCTGAGATGTTCTGGCATGCACAGGTGACTGCAGACCCCTGTGTTCCCTGACACTGTCCCTCATCTGGTGGTGAGGAAGGTGATGATCTTGCTAGATGGTCTTGAGAAGGTTATAGGCCATACAGATGAATGGGATCTCCCTTGGAGGGGCAGAAGGCAGGATAGCACCTCCTGGAATTCTCCCCGCCTCTCCCCCATCTCCTCCCCTCTCTCATGCAGCCTCCTGGGCTCCATGCTCCCCATGCCACGGATCCTGTATGCAATGGCTCGAGATGGGCTCCTCTTCAAACCTCTGGCCAAAGTTAGTCGCCGTCAGTGCCCGGTGGTGGCAACTCTGGTGTCTGGGGGAGTGGCAGGTGGGTGAGGTAAGGGTGCCTGGGTTACCCTTACCTGTGAGCAGGGCTTGCTGGGTGTCCTCTTTCCCCTCTAGCTTGACTGCAGCTGTTTGAGCAATGTCTCTTCACCCAGACACAGATCTCCTCACGGTGGGTGAGGACACCTCGATGGTGTCCCAGACACTGGTTCAGCCTCTGCCAGGCAGGAGGTGACAGGATGTACTAGTGACCAAAGTGTCATCAGTTCATCGAGGTTCTGTTGCAGAGGGTATCAGGGGGATATGGGAGGTCAGGAGAGTATGACTGAGGTGGGCACAGCAGCACTGCCAGCTCTGCTCAGAGGCTGAAAGGGCTTCTCTTCCCCACAGCTCTCCTGGCCCTTCTCTTCGACCTGAAGGCCCTGGTAGACACCATGTCCATTGGCACACTGCTGGCCTACTCCATAGTGGCTGGCTGTGTGCTGCTGCTCAGGTGACACTGTGGGGGACAGGGGACAGGGCTTCTGGTGTGGGCCATGCCTGGGACAGGCTCTGGCCTGGGTGCACTGCAGGTGCAGGTTTATGTGCATTGACCTCCAATGTCTGCTCCTCAGGTATCGGCCTGAGCCCAGCGCTCGGGACACTCCTGCGGGGAAGGTCCCAGCTGTGCAGCTCTGGTGGGACCACCTGGTCCAGCCGCCCCCCCATGCCACCCCTCGCTCCTCTGCTGTGGTGGTCTGGGCTCTGACAGCTGTAGGTATGTCTGGGAATGATGGATGGGCTCTACAGGAGCTGGCATTGGGGAGCCATGGGGGACATCCCTGCTGTAGCAAGGGCTGGTGGTTCCTGCCCATTGAAAACCGCCCAGCAGCTGCCTGGCTCCTTCCTGCCCTCACCCCACTGCCACACAGCTGGCTGCCCCAAGGGGACCTCAGGAAATCTCCTGCTCCCTCTTCTTCCCAGACTGGAGAGAAAAGCTAAACCCACCATGAGAAGCCACCCAGGCGTGTCCCCTGGTTGTCATTTGTCACCATGGCAGCCTGGGAGAGGGATGGACCCTGCCCAGGGAAGCTGCCCTGACACCGTGGTCCCTCTGCAGCCACCCTGGCCTGTGCCCTGAGCTGGGTGAGTGCTGCTGGACTGCCCTGCCTGTGGACTGGTGGTGCCTGGTGCATCACAGCTCTGGCCCTGCCTCTTCTGGGGATCCTGGCAGCAGCTCTTCTCATCTGGAGGCAGCCTCAGAGCCGGGACAGAGCATCCTTCATGGTGAGCACCCAGCCCAACCCTTGGGATGTACCCAGGAAGAACGACCTGGAGCACAGAGAGCAGGCAAGTGCTGCAGCCCTGTGGGGAAAGGATGCCATTGGTGTTCCCTCAGCTTTAGGTCAGGCACATCTTTGCTGCATCCACGTTAATAAGGTACTGCTGGAGACGGCATGTAGCTTGTGGGGTTTTCTATAGGGGCCATGAGGGTTCTTCACCCCATGACCTGTGGGCTGAAGGGGCATCTCCCAACTGAGCCCTGTGCCTGCTGGGGAATCAGCTACTTTTCAGTAAAGAGATACCTGGCCTTAACACCTTGGCTTAGTTTTATGAATGCTTTGCTGGCTCCCACCTCAAATTCTGCTGTACCTCCTGCCCCAGTGCAGGACCTGTCAACCAAAACACCATCCACAAACACCCCTCTCCAGCACAGGCTGCAGTTCCAGCTTGGATCTTTGAACCTCACAGCCAGGCCGGGCTTCCTCTTGCCTGTGGACAACTAGCCAAAGCAGCAAAGAGCTGTATTTAACTGTGGAATTTACCCTTGTGCTCCCTGCAGGTTCCCTGCCTGCCCTTCCTGCCTCTCCTCAGCATCTCCATCAACACTGTGCTGATGGCCCAGCTCAGCACGGCCGCCTGGCTGCGGTACCTGCTCTGGATGGCTGTGGGTAAGCACAGCCACTCACCAGGTCCCCGAGCTGGCACCAGCCCCTCTGGGTGGGGCTCTGGTGGTTTGAGAACTCGTGGCACTCATGCTGCTCTGAGTGGTGGTGGGGAGGGAGGAGATGCTGACCTTTGATGTCCAGCAGTGGTGGGAGCACCGTGTCCTCTGATAGGTGGCCTAAAGGAAGGGGTGAGCACTTAGTGGCTGGGAGGAGAAGGAAGAGAAACAGTCCATACACACCCTGTTCTGCCCTTTTCCAGGTTTCCTCATTTACTTTGGCTATGGGATCTGGCACAGCACCGAGAGCCACTGGCCTGAAGGGACAGAGCCCCAGGAGCTGCCAGGAAGCAGAGCCAGGGAGGTGGCCCTGGAGCCCTGTGGGACTGCCCTGTGCCCATCTGCTCCAGGGCAATAAAAGGGGATGGCTAGTTCCTGAGTACCTGGCTTCCTCCATCCTGTGCCCAGGGGGCAAGGAAGCCCCTTGGGCTGTGGGTCCTGTCCCACAGAGGAGGCGAGCCCTGCCAGAGCTGCAGGAGCAGCTTCCCCGAGTCTCGTGAACCTTCCTGAGCAACCCAAATCCTCACAGCAAGCCCCTGCAGAAGGAATTCTGTTTGGAGAGGATAAAGCACACAAGTGATTTTGCTGCTGTTGCTGGGCTGTAGTTTTGTGTTTGTTTTTTTTTTTTTCATTTGAAACCTTTCCCTGCAGCCCCCCACAGGCCCCCTTGCCCACCCTGTTCCTTCAGCTGCTCACAATGGGGTGGAGGCTTCTTGTGCTGTCCTGACCCTCCATTTTGCCTGGGCACCCAGCCTGAGCTGACCTGTCATTCCCCCCATGACCATCAAGGTACTGCCTGGTCCAAGCTTTTCCCTCTTCTTAGTGTGCAAGTTCTTTTCTGCACTCATTTATTCCTCCTCCTCAGTTCCCAGTGTCCCCTTTCCCAGAGTCGGGCACATTCTTCCAAGTCCCACGCAGGATCTGCCTTTGGGGCACTGGGACATGGTATCAGGTGTCCAGAGCAGGATCCCAGACCCCAGCAGCCTCATATCCCTTTGTCCAGAAATCCTGATCCCTTGATCCATAACCAGGCAGGATTTTTGGGCATCCCCTGCTTTGGTGCTACAGCACCAGGGGGAGGCACAGATGATGTGTGGAGCAGAGGGTGCCCTGGTGGGACATGGTTCTGACACAGCAGGCTCCCCATTTCCCCCTCTGGCCACCCCATGGAGGTGTGTGGGTAAGAGCTGGACCCCACATCCATCCTGGCTGCCTGTTCAGCTGCTCTATTCCTGATAAGGGTCAGCACAAAGGACGGAAGTGGCTGTTGCAGTGGCCCTGATGCTGGGAGGGTCCGAGTCTGCCCTGAGCTGGGAGCCCATTGAAATGAAGGAAAAGAGGAAAGGAGCAGGAAAATGGGGATTGGCCTTAAGGGCCTCATCTGGAGCTTCAGACTCAAAAGAGTCTTTGTGGTGCCAGCTCCCACCCTTCCCCTTCTTCCCACTGTACGGGGTGTGGAGCACACAGCCCCACTCTGGGACGCTCCTGCAGCAGTCCTCCAAACCTCTGCCATGGGATTCCTGAGGCTGCTGCTTCTTACAGATTTGTAATTGCTATAGCCAGCACACACACACACACACACACTCACACACACACACACACACACTCACACACACTCACACATTCACACACATACACTCACACACACACAGACACTCACACACACACACAGACACTCACACACACACACACACAAACACACACACACACACACACACACACACAGAGACACTCACACACACACACACACACTCACACACACACACACACACAGCCCTGGCTAAACAGCCCTGGGAGGGGGACAGGCCTGTGACAGCCCCAGAGCAGTGACTCCCACCACACTCAGGGGAAAGTGCTTGTGTGCATCCGGCCCTGACCCACAGCCATGCTGGCAGCACCTTCCCTGCTGGGGATGCATCAGCTCAAGCAGAGGGATGTGACGTGCCAAAGCCTGATACTCCTGGGAGGATGCTTTGCTCCCTGAATGTGCAGCTCCAGCCTCTGTCCAGCTTTTGGGGGAGCAGATGGGACTGGCGGTGCTGCTGATGGTCAGCAGGGACAAGTAGGGCTTGGGGTCTTCATGGCAGTGAGCTGGGACACACCTGAGCTGCAGGGGCAATACCTGGGAGACGTTTGCTGAAGGTAGAGGTGATGGGAATAGGAAGGCATGGGTGGGAGCCCTGCCTGCTGAGGTTAACACCATGTCCTCAGTGCCCTCCTCATCCTCCTGATGCTTGTTCCCATCCTGTCCTAGTGGCCTCATCGTCCTCGTGCCCTGGGGCAGCCCTGCTGCTGTCTATACTCAGAGCCAAGTGCTGGGTCGGGTCCGGCCCAGTGCAAGTCTGCGTGTCCTGGCTGACCCCTTTCACCCCCAGACAGCCCTCACCAGAGGAAGGGCTGCAGGGACTGCGTGGGTGGGGGGCCAGAGTCCCTCTGCAGCCCCACACGGGCTGGGGAAATGCAGGCGTGAGTGTCCCGTGAATCGCTCCATCACTCCGGTCCGTGAGGCTCGGCCAGCCCGGAGCCCTGCCCCGACTGGGGGGCACTCGTGGGAGCAGCCCCGGGCTCGCAGGGCTGCGGGGGAGCCCCGGCAGTCCCCGGCAGAGCGCGGTGTCCTCGGTGCTACGTGGCGATGAGGGGCACCTCGCCGGCAGCCATGGGGAAGGGGCTGCCGTCCCCCGCGTTGAGCACACGGTACAGCAGCTCCTCCTTCTCCCGGCGAGCCTGCTCCAGCAGCTGCGCCTCCTTCTCCAGCGCCCCTCGGGCGGCCTGCAGCTCCTCGGACAGCTGCCTGCGGGCAGAGGGCACGGGCTGCCGGAGCCGCCGGGCACAGCACCCGCCGGCACCGCTGTGTTCCTGCACTGCCACCCGTCCCCCATCAGAGTGCCACCTCTGCGCCTGGGACCGGCACTTACCTCGCCATGACCAAGTGGTTCTGGGTGCGAACTTGCAGGTCCTCGTTCTCCTGCTGGAGAGTTTTCACCTTCTCCTCGAGCAGAAGGTTCCTCTCCTCCTGAAAGGAGGCATGAGGGTGAGGAGAGAGCTGGGAAGCACTTCTGAGCCCCCTGCCACCCCATTTTGGTTGAAATGCTGGTCTGGTGGCATTGCTCCCACATCCCCTCTCCATGCCAAGAGAGGAAACGGGCTCTATCCACCTTTCCTCCAGCTGTGGTTTCTGGGCAGAATTTAGGTGGGTAGAGTAGCTGAAAAGAGGAAAGCCCACCTGTGACCCCCCCCCTTTCAACCCACCACGTTCTTCAGGTGCAGCAGCTTCTTGTCCAGGCCGTGGATGTGCTCGTTCTTCATCTCGATGACGAAGTGCAGGCTCTCCAGCTCCTGCTCCCAGAAGGGGCTGGGGCTCCCGTGCTCCTGCAGGGCCATCACTTGTGTCCAAGGGACCTCAGTGCCTCCCTGGCACAGGCTTTGCTCCCCCCCTTCAGCTGTCCTGTGCTCCCCCCTGGTTCCAGCCCAACCCTGCCAGGGCCCTTCAGAGAGGCCCCTTGGCTTGGGTGAGCAGCCCATAGCAGGTCCCCTCCCTGACACCCCTCCCTGCACCTGGATGTGCTTCTTGTAGTCTGTTCTCAAGAGTGACTCCTCCACCCGCTTCATCCTCTCCTGGAAGGATTGCAGCTGGGAATTCAGTACCTGAATTGTCTCCTAAGAGAACCAGGGAAAAAGCAGAATGTGGTATCTGGGATTTCTTTTGGAGCCTGGGGACTGCTGGGTTGTGGTACCAAAATAACACCAGGGCTGGAGAGCTGATGTGGTCCCTGAGCACACCAGGGACTGAGGTGACCACTGAAGAACATGGGGCACCATGGCAGAGCCAGCAGATGGTACTCAAGCCCTCCACAAGCCCCCACCCACCCAGGGATTTTCTGATGGTACCTGTAAGGCTGCCTCAGACCTGTGGTGGGACTCTGTCAGCAGCAGCTTCTCCTGCTCATATGCTCTCTGGAGCTCTGTGGGGAACAGGAGATGAGTGTCACCAGTGTGGGGACATTGGGGCAGCAGGCCCCACCTGAACCCCACAGTTCTGGAGAGCAGGGAGCAGCGTCCCCATGTCCCCCCAGGCAGCCAAAGGGACACTGGCAGTCACGGGGAGAGGGGAGGGGAGCTGCAGGGAGCCCTACTGCCCTGGCACACACCTTGCAGGGTTTCCATGTGCTCTCTTCTCAGGGCATCAAGCTGTTCCTTCAGCTCCAGCTCTTTTCCCTTTTCCACCTGGGAAGCAGTCAGATGAGAAATCCCAGTGTAATGGATGCAGAGCTTCACTACTTTGGACTTCCTCACCCTTTCTTAGACCCATCTTTTCCCCAAAAGTGGCTGAGCCCAGCCCAACACGTGCCAGGGAAGACCTGGCTGGTGACACACTCCAGGCCCAGCTGCTGCCTCCAGCAGCACCAGCCCTTCCAGCTGACCTGGATCTCAATGTCCTGGGAGATGCTGGAAGTGCCTGCCCGGCCAGCATCCCGCAGCCGCTCCTTCCCCTCCTCCTCCTGGCCTTGGAGGAATCTCGCGCTGTCCGTCCACTCCTCCGGCCGCGCTGCCTTCTCCCCATCCTCAGGAAGCAGGGAGGCATTGGCTGCAAAACAAACGAGGCTGGAGCAGCACTGGCTGCCTCCCACTGTCTGGGCTGCCTGCACATCCTGGGCAGCTGAACCTGCCAGTGCCATGGGCTGGCTTCAGCACTGCCCTGTTCCCACTGGAGAAACACCTCCCTCTGTCTCACTAGTCCAAATTAGCAGTGATTGGGATGGTGCTGGCAGGCTCAGAGAGGACACAGAGCTTGTCAGGTCTGTTCTGGGGATGACCTGTCTGACTGAGAGGAGGGGATGCCATTGTCTCTGGGATGCCCTGTTTGCTCCCCTGCACCAGCATGCAGCTACATCATCCCCATCCTCCCTGGTGCCATGATGGGGCTTGTCCACTGCTTCCTTAATATCACTCTGAGAAAGCAAAGCAGGGGGAAACCACAATTTTTTCTCACCATTCTCTGTCTTCAAGGCCGTGAGCTCCTGGGAAGCCGGTCCCCTCTGCTGCTGGGCTTTTAGCTGTCTCTGGCAGAGAGAGAGGGGGCTGGAGCAGAGGGGAACAGAGAGGGGCAGGTGGCTGCAGGCAGAGAACACCCTGTACTGAGCCTGCATCAGCTCTGCTCAAACACAGAGCTCAGGGAGCAGCGGTCCCTCCCCAGCCCCCTGCCCTCTCCCATTCCTGAGCACCCATGGGTGTGCATGTACTGCCCATCAGGCAGCCTCAAGCTCATGCCCATTCCTTGTATCCCAGACAGTTCACCATGTGGCATTCAGCTGGAAAACCTGGGGGATGCTCACAACATCCCACCGACATGGTGAAAAATGGGCTCCAGCAGCAAAACATTTGGTGGAGGAGAGCAGGCAGCACTTGGCAGGGCTCCAGCTTTGGCACTCCCTTGCCACCCTCCTCCTGTCCTGGGATGCTCAGGTCAGTCTAGTTGCAGCCCCCCAAACACACACCTCTGCCAGGGCCTTACACAGATGGGCTTTGACACAGCTGGAGCAGGCGTGAGAAATGAAAAATAACCATAAATCAGAGGCGATACAGCCCCTGTGCAGGGCTGGCAGCAGGCGAGAGCAGGCGGTGGCCAAGCAATGACCTCAGGAGCGCAGGAATGTGCTGCACAGCCCCGCACTCCCGCACGCTCCCACTGCTGCCACGGGGCTGAGATAACCCAGAGCCGGGAGCTGCCTCCAGCAACACAGCTCCGTGGGATGCCTTCCAGCCCTGCATGGGTTTAATTTAGTCACTTGGAGGGGAGAAGAAAAAAAAAAAAAAAGGAGTGGATATATTTTTATCAGTTGCTGAAAGATAGAAGCAAAACTCACAGGCTCTCAGCTCAGCCTCGCTGGCGCAGGGCAAATCTGATCCCTGATGCTCAGCACTGAGCTGTGCTTCTCTGGGTAGGGCACAGATGTGCCAGGGGCGAGAAAATTCACCTGAGGACACATTGCTGCTCTCCAGGCCCCTAAAAATACCAGTCCCTGAGGAAAGCAGCCCTGCTGCCTGCAGGGAGCCGGGACCTGCTGAGCGGCTGCTCCCCAGCTCGGCCCCGCGCACAGCGGCGCGGCCAAATACAGCCCGGATTAGGGAGCCTGGCTTGGGAAAAAAGCAAGGGAAAGCAAACAGACACCCCTGTCTCCGCCTCCCCTGCAGCCCCCCTTCTGGAGCTGGAGGGAGGCGCAGTTCCAGAGAGCAGGAGAGCTCCAAGCCTCTGGGAAGCCACGGCTTTATCTTCCCTTCTATGGCATGAGCAGCCACGGCGTTGAACGTGGCCCAGGCGAGGGGGCGAGGAGGCACCCGGCAGTCAGAGTACACAGGGCTTGTTCTCCTTGCCCATACAGCTCACCCTGAAAGCGTGGGGTGCCCTGGGATGCTCCTGAATCCTGGCACACCTGACTGCAAAGGGTCCCCAGGAATCCTCGCCTGTCCCCTGACACACGTCATGCCAGTGTGCATCTCCCTGGTATTTAACGTACCTATGTCCTGTGATGGGTTTTGAAGTCGGGGTACAGGGATCAAGGGGAGAGATGAATGAGACAGTCGAGGCTCTGCAGTCCTGAGGGCATCATAGGAGTCCCAAAAGGTCCCCTCCCCTAGCCCCTCACCCCATATCCCTGCTTTTCGGCAAGAAAAGGCCATGCAGGAGGATCGTCCTGACACAGCGGGTGACACAGACTTCAAGAGTTTTGGATGACCTCAGCAGAGCCAAGAGCTGGATGCTGTTACCACCTCCAGGAGGGACCCCAAACCACCTCTGCTGCATTTGTCCTGCTCACTGGCAAAAGTGATGCCTAAGGACAGAGAGCCCAGGGCTGGTCACCTCCATAGCACAGGCAATGTCTGCAGCACAGACCTGGGGAATCTTCACCTCCACACCCCAAATCCAGCAGGATGGGACCTCAGAGCCTCTCAGCCTCTAAAGGAAGATGGTTTGATACACCTGTACTGAACTCAGAAATAGTTGAAGCGAGTAACAGGCTCACCAGCATCAACAGACAAATCTAAATACTTGCCCTGAGGCTATGAGTGAGGCACCTTCCTACCTCTAGGAGCAATTAAAACAGCATCTAGAGCTAATTTTAGTCATAAGCACTCAATTGGCCTTTGGGATAAAAGCTCCACCTCTGGTGTGAACAGCAAAATTTGGCTGAAAGCTCTGAAATATGGAGGGACTTTCCACTGTCACTTCCAGAGAAGCTTTGTGGCACCCAAACCTCTGGTATCGCCTAGTGCATTTTGGAGAGCTGGAAAATCATCCTGGAATCCACCTCGTGTGGAAGGAGCAGGTTGGGAATTGCTCCAGCTGGAACAGCTTTGGCCAGGGGAAGAAGCAGCCTGATACATCCTGCAGGTGGGGGCCATCCACAGCTCATCCTGTAAGGTCTTGGAAACCTCTGCCAAAAATACTTTCCAGCTATGAAAAAACCAAAAGTATCTACATTCTTAGAACTAAATATTTCTAATAGTCTGGAGCAGAACTGTTTATGGGTGGATTAATAGGGATTTCCAACCGGACCTGAGTCATCTCCAAGGTTCTGGGGCAGGGAGCACCAGTGCAGAGCAGCTGGCACAGTGTGGGCAGCCGAGGTGGCTGCAGCCTCTGCTTCAGCCCTTAGCGTGAGGTGGGGTTTTGGACTGTATTTTTCTTCCTCTTTTCCTGTTTTACAAGTACATTAAGCAATTCAACCATGCAACCTAGCAAAGGAAATCACAAAGAGTCAGGAAATGAGTATTTAAATCCTGACTCTGCTTCTGGGGAGGAGGTTTTGCTTTGTGGCTGTGGAGAAGGGGGCCAGGATTTGGTCCATGACTGTAACACCTCCCAGGAACTACAGCAGATGCTCAGTGCTGCCAGAGCAATGCTGGCACAGGTCCGTGGGACCTGTCTTTAACCCTGCTGCTGTCTTTCCTCCAGTGACGGTGATGGTTGTGTTAGGAGGTGATTATCACCTCTCCTACAGTCAGATCCCTGCCGCAGACTGTAGGCAAACACTTCACACTGTTGACAGCCCCGAGTTTTGCATTCTGATCCTTCCCTGACTCCTGGTGCCACGTCCAGTTCCTAGCACTTCAAAATAAATTCACCCCAGCCCTGGAAGACGGCCAAGCCTCAGCCCTGACCTTTTGGGAAGGCAACTTGGCCTCTCTGATGCTCGGAGTGTGACCAAAGCGTGAGCGGTGACCGTGAGTGGCCAAGCACGGGTGGATGGAGCTGAAGGGGAAGGAAACCCCAGGGACAGCGCCCACAGCTCAGGGCTGGGCTCTCTCTGTGCCTCCCTTATCACCCTGCTGCCCGCAGACTGGTGCTAGGGAAGGATGAGGCTGCCAAGGCGCCTCCCCAGGGCACGCAGTGGCCCCTGGTATGTCATCCACCCACCAGACCCAGCCCAGCACCAGCTCCTCAAGGTCACCTCAAACCTGGCACTGGCCTCTAAAGCCTCTGCAGCCCCCAGCCCCATTAGAGTCCCCAACCCCATGACCTGCTTCTGGCTTCTGGCTGGGCTTGCCTCTGGGATTTGAAGTCTCCCCTAACGCCAAGCAAGCTCAATGGACCAACTCTGTAAGTCCACCCATCAGCAGTGGGAGGTGAAGGCCTCCCATCCTGCCTTTTGGCACTCTGGACATGAGAACATGGGCAAGAGTGGCTCCATGCCTGCCCTTATGCCTTTTAGCCATAACAGGGTTTTTAGGTGCTGCTTTCAGAATGACTTTCAGTCACAGCAGCAGGGCTGTTCTGTGGGTAATGACTGCTGGTGAGCAGTGACACGGGGCTGAGCAGAGGAGCTCGAGAGCAGGCAAGTGCAGGAAGGGAGGCGTCTGCTGGCAAACGACAAATTTCCGTGTTTCGGTAAATGTGGGGCTCTGAACACCTGGGGCCTTGGGGCTGTTGTTTCTCCCTGTCCTATGCCCACTCTTGAGAGCTCTCAGAGCCACAAACCAGCCCAGAAATATCTGATCTTATGACATAGCAAAGAGTGGCATTTTTTCCATGATGTGGAGAAGCAACCAAGCCTGCAAGTGCTGTGAATAAAGGCATTTGGCTGTGGGGCTCCATGCCTGCACCCCCTGCACATCCAGCAGTGGGTCCTGTGGCCCCAGGTGGCTGGACTCTCACAGCTGGATCTGCAAAGGGCCACCCTTGCTGGGGGTACAGCAGCACCACAGGACCTTTCTGCCTTCCCTCCTTCCCCTGCCACCCTCCAGCAATCACAACAGCCAACACCAGTAAGCACAGCACATCCAACAGCAAAAACATCTCCTGAGGTCAGTGCGGCACTGCAGCAGCATGAGCACACCAAATAATAACAACAATAATGATAATAACAATCAGAAGATAATTTCAGACCTTGCCAAAGAGCTCTTCAGTACAGAGTGATGTGCTGAGATGTGAGGGGACTTGGAGTGTTCCCCTACAGCAGTGCTCCCCTACAGGAGTGATGCCTTCAGCACAAGGGGATGAGGGAGGATGCTGTGGGAGGCTGGCAAAGGTCTAGCTGGGGGAACCCATCCCTGTCTTCTGTGGGACCAGCATTTCCAACAGGCATCACCATCCCAGATGCAGCAGCCCCTTAATTATAGAATTCCCGTGATGTCGGGGTGAGCCTGGAGGGGTGCAGGAGAGTGCAGGAGGATGCAGGAGGGCGGGTGGCTGCCAGCTTTCATTGTCCCCGCCGCCGGTGGGGTCCAAGGCAGCCGGGGACAGCCACACCGGCCGGCCCCACCGCACCCCGGGGCAGGCAGGAGCCCACGCCGGGTACCCCCAGCACCCCTCGTCCCCAGCAGTGCAAGCAGGACTCCCCGCAAACATCAGCACGGCGCGAACCCAAACTCCATCAAACCCCGACAACGTGTACCCTCTGTCCCACAAGAGCCCGACCCCACGGAGCCCCGACACCACGCCAACCCCGGCCCCGAGCGAAGCCCAGCCCAGCCCAAAAGTCCCCGCAGCCGCTACCTCGGCACCGACGGGGCAGCAGCGCAGGGCGCTGCCGGTGCAGCCCATGGAGCCCCGGCGGGACCCGCTCAGCCGCGGGGCGCGGGGCGCGGCATCCCCCGGCGAGCGGCACCGGGCACGGACGGGACGGGACGGGATGAGCCGCCCCAGCTGGCAGGCAGAAAAAAAATAATTAAAAAAAAAAAAAAAAGTAATAAAAAAGTCCGGCAGCTGCTGACAGGCAGCGCCGGGAGAGGGTGCTCTGCACCCCCGAGCCGCGGGCAGGGCCCCCGGCCGCAGCCTGCCCGCCCCCGGGGCTGGCCCTGGGCCCCCTCCACCCCAGGGTGTCCCCGCCCTGGGCCGGGGTGCTTCGGGAATGCTCTGTCCCACGGGTCCCCTGCACTGAGGATGCTCCGTTGTGGGTGTGGGGTAAGGAGAGCAGGACTTCTGCGTTGGAGGTGTCCTCTCCTGGGCGAGGAGAAAGGGGAACAGGACCCCTGCACCAGAGCTAGGGTGGGAGCAGGACCAGCTGCTCAGGGGCCTTCCACTGCCGAACCCACTCCAGCTCTCTTAGGAGTGGGGATGAGAGTGGGAAAGCAGAATCCATCAGGCTTTTGCCATCACCCCATCAAGTTTCAGCTTGTGTGGGGGTATTTGTGGAAAAGTGGTGAGTTTGGGGTGCTTTTCCTGGCAGGAGCTCTGCTCTGGGGGCCCTCGTGGTGGCTGGAGAGGGCTTTCAGTGTGATCCATATTGCCTGAGGGACTGCACCCTGGCAACCCTTCTCTTGAGCATCCCAAACACCCCAAATGCAGGGCTTGGAGCCAGGGTGCCCTTTCCCAGGAGGAAATCTTTGGATTTGGGTCCTTTGGAAATGGGTCCTGAACACGTAGGGAAACACAAGGACTTGAAACTGTCCCATCTAAAAAAATAACGTGAGGAAAGGCAGGTTCTTCTAAATGTTTTGATTTTGATTATTTTTAAAATGCCTTTTAAAAATTTTATTTTTATACATTTCTGAATGACCATACATTTTGACCTGAAAACCCATTGGTGCTACCCAGAACTGCTGAAATAGGAGTGTTTGAACCTGGTCACGAGGCTGTGCCTGTATGGAAACATCGCAAGTTTTTGTCAACAAGTTTCTATTCTGACATTTTCCAAATATCCCCTGGGAGAAGTCCAAGCAGCCTGCGGCTCTGGGGATGCCAACACCTTGGCACTTCGCCTGGGCGCCGAGGGAGTGGAGGTGCCTGGTCGTCCTGTCACGTTCGACTTGGAGGTGTTTTTCTTGCCCTGGTAACCCTGGGATGGGGGAAGTTGTGAAACACCACTTGGATGGGAGGGTGGGGAAGGCGAGGGGCAGGCCCATGCTGCCCCAAGTCTCCCGGGGACTGGTGAGACCAGTTGCCTGCGTCCTCTTGGGTGGGTGCTGCTTAACCTGAGTGAAGTTTTGTGAGTCACAGCAGCTCCTGGCATCAGCTCCCACTGCTCAGAAACCACCGAGAGCGTCTCACTTCTTATCTCTCCCAGCACTTCAGAGTGGGGCAAGTCTCCTTCCCTGCATGAGAGTAATTTGGGCTGAGTAGATGTTTGTGGGATAAAAGTGCAAGGTGCTGGTCTCCACCTCTCCAGGGTGAATTAAAAATCCCGGTCCAGACTTCAGAGACTGAAGGCCTACAGGGGCAAGCAACAAAGCACATGCAGATTTCCAGGCTGAGTATGCATTGCTGGGGCCGTGGCTGCAAAGAGAAGCAACTGTGTGGGCAGCTGATGAGGAGTCTGTCCAGCTGCCATCACGTCTTGCTGGTGCACAAAGGTCCAGTAGTCTGCACATGTGCTTCTGGAAATTTCTGCTTTTAACTGTGGGGTGCTGAGGGGCTGCTTGGGGATGCCCTTGTGCCACAAAGTGGGGCTCCAATTAGGATTTCTCTTGACAGTAGTGGAGAAAAAACAGCTTGGTCACATCAGGCTAAGGCATTGAGCCAGCAGGGCAGAACTGGGGCTTGGGGATGGGCCTGTTCAGCAAGGCCAGCTCCAGCACCCCAATCCTCATCCTCTGCTGCAGGCTCTGGTGTGACAACCCTGTGCTTCGAGAGATCGCTGACTTTTGGAGACACGGCTGCCCAGACCCTGTTATATCCTTCCTACAGCCTGTGGGTTCATGTGAGGCTGCCTGCCAAAAGCCCTGCCTGTGCTACCCCAAAGCTCTCTAATTCGAGCTTGATTTTAGCAATTCCTTGTTTTTTCCAGTCTCTCCTGTGGAAACTGCACGGGATGTGTGTCTGACAGATAGGTCTTTCATCTCAGCCCTGCTTTATCCTCCTCTGCCCCAATACACTGAAAACTTGTTCCCTTCTCAGGGCAGCACTTAAACAGCCAGAAACTGCTCTGCTCAGCTGCTCTTGAGCAAAGCAGGGGCTTTCCATGGCATCATAGGGGTAACCAGAGCACCCCAGGGGAGCACAAGGGCCTGGAGGCTGCACGTAGCAGCCTGGAGAAAAAGGGGACTGTGGCAGCCAGGGGATTCCTGCCCAGGCAGACAGGAAAGCAGAGGTGGTGTGGTGGCCCCACCTGAGGCAGCTTCAGCTTGTTTTGAAGTTTGCTCTAATGTCTTTTTTTGGTGTTATCTTGATCTCTCCCCAAGAATGACAGCAGCTGGAGACATCTCCAGGGTTTTGTCTAGAAAAGTGAGACGAGGAGGCTTTATCACATGCTCAGCTGAATTGCCGTAAATGGGATAACAGCTGGAAAGTCGAGTTAATTTGTACCAGTGGTCATTTAAACTGTTTGCCAAAGCTTATGGATAAGAAAAGCATCTGTGCAAACTGTTTAAGTGTCTCTTGTGGCTCTCTCTCTGGTTCCAGCTGGTAAGGACTGGGCACAACAGGATGGCAAGTGTCAGTGCCAGCCCTGCAAGGTCTGTTTGCAGAGTGGTTCTGTGAGTGCAGATGGGGTCATACCTTTTTTATATTTTGGGCCTTTTTTATTTGTATATCTTATTTTCAGAAACCCAGTCTGTGGAAAAAAAAACAAAAAAGAGAAGTGGAGGATATTTTGCTGGAAGGCTTTAGGTGATGAGCTGGCCTGTGGTGATGGCTGATGGGTCCTGGTAGAGCTGCAGCCCAAGCAGTGGACAGAAAGTGGTCATGGTTACAGCCTTCAGCCCTGCTCATCATTTGCAATGTTTGCTTTTGTAAATGAGAGGTAATGAAGTGCTGGCTGCTTTTCTTCAATGCAAATCCAAGGTGTTTAGCCAGGTCTGCTGAGACCTCCTGACTCGTGACTTGATTTTGCATGGGTGAGATAGCTGAAAAAACTGTTTGAATTGCAGTAGTTCTCATATGTGTTGGAGCCGGGGATATAGGTCACACATACTTCTGCCTTGA